TGTCAGTCAACGTGTGTCAATCAATGTGTGTGTTTATTTGTCAATCAACGTGTGTGGGGGGGGTTGTCAATCAACACTACTTTCATTAAGCCAACTTCCGCTTCCTACCCATTTATAGCCCCCAAAAGTGAAATTGTGTGCTGGAGTTGTAGCTCAGTTGGCAGAGCATTTGCGTAGCATGTGAGAGGCACTAGGTTCAATCCTCAGCATCACAAAAAATAAATAAAATAAAGGTATCTGTTAACAACTGAAAAAAAAATATGTGTGTGTGTGTGTGCATAAAATAAGTAAAGTGAAACTGTGCCTGTAATCCCAGTGGCTCAGGAGACTGAGACAGGAGGATCACGAGTTCAAAGCCAGCCTCAGTGAAAAGTGAGTTGCTCAACAACTCAGACTGTCTCTAAATAAAATACAAAATAGGGCTGGGGATGTGGCTCAAAGGTCAAATGCCCTTGAGTTCAATCAATAACACCACAAAAAAAGTGAATTCTTACTTTAAATTGTTTATTATTAAATACAAGCAATGCATACCAGATGCATTTTTAAAAAATCAAGCACAGCAGAAAGATTTATGGTGCCATTTTCTCCCAGATTCTCAATTCCTCTTTTCAGGCACAACCATTGGTATCAATTTATTGTGTATGCTTCCAGAGACAGTCCCTGCACACACCCATAAAACAACATAGGACCATTAGGAAAAGGAAAAGACCAATAGCCACCACATCACAAGGATGAATATTGCTTTAATGAGTAAAGCCAAAAAAGATGAAGGGTTTAACATAAGTAAAACACTGATGATTTCACTCTTTAGAAAGCCCAGCAGGTGTTTGACAGGGATGCAGACAAAAGAATGTGCACAGAGATGTTTGGGCCAGATCATAATGTGGTACTGATTTTGTGGTGAGACCCTCAGAATTTAGAGCAAAAAGTCTTCTACCTGCCCTGCAGTCTGGAGCCCCCAGAATTGGGGTGGAGGGAGGAGGCCAAACTTAACTTTGAAAGCTCTACCACTTTGGATGTGGCAAGAGAAAGACGCATTTTCAAGTGGAAGGAAAAGGCAAAAGATAGCAGTTTACATTTGTGGAGAGCTTACAAAGTTGTGTGGTTTACAAATGTATCCTGTCTTTGATCTGTCTTTAATTACAGAGTTCTTGTGTTCTAGGGACATCGGTGGCTGTGGGCTGGCTTTCTGGCTACAGCAAAGGGTGAAGATAGTAGAAGAAGTTAGAGGGCAAGACTCAGATGGGATGAAGTGAAACCAATGAAGGCTGAATTAGAATACAGTCCTCAGGTTTGGGGGAGAGTGAAGTATCACCCGCCTTTTATCTATCTTACAGTCCCTCCAGCAGTATGTGAAGTTCCAGTTTCTTCATGTCCTTGACCGACACTTGTTAATGCCTGTGTGTTTCATTTTAGCCATCCTAGGTGGTGTGGAGTGGATCCTCATTGTGCTTTTGATTCGCATTCTCTAATGATTAATAATGCTGAGCATCTTCATGATGCCGTGAAGCCATTCCAAGGTCTATCTTCTTTGGAGAAATGTCTCTTCAAATCATTTGCCCATTTTAAAATTGGTTATTGGACTTATTATTAAATTTTAAGAGCAATTTATGTATTCAGAACACCAGAACTTCATCAAATATATGAGTTGCAAATTCTCCTCCCATTCCGTGGGGATCAGAGTGGGCACAGGATAAGAAGGCTTGTCTCACTGGGCACGGTGTCGCATGCCTGTATTCCCAATGGCTTGGGAGGCTGAGGCAGAAGGAAGGATTAAAGCCAGCCTCAGTAACTTAGTGAGGCCCTAAGCAACTCAGTGAGACCCTGTCTCTAAATAAAATACAAAAAAGGGCTGAGGATGTGATTAAATGCCCCTTGGTTCAATCCCTGGTACCCCACCCCCTCAAAAAAAGAAGGCTTGCCTCAGGGTAGGGTCCTCTGTAGGGTAGTTGGGTCTTGGCCAGCCATTTAACTAGGGGAGCCCCCAATGCCAGTATCTGTAGATGTTTTGTCTTTTGATTGACATTGTTCCCCAGAGCATCCTTGATTTCCTGCCAGGGCATGTAAGTCTGAGTACCAGGTATCTAAGGGCCAAGCTGGAGCTGAGAGGGAGCAGGGACCCTCTCTCCATTCCGAATATGGGCTTCCCAATGCAGACTTCTGGTGACTCTGTTTTCAGTACAACTTCCTCAGGTCACAGCTGGGATGTGTCTTCAGAGTCCTGCTGGACTGTGCCTGTGGTTCAGCCTCTAGAGAAGACAAGCCCCTCATCCCCCAGGGGCACAGAGGAGGTCCTCATCCATATAGAATGGTGGAGGGGTGCGGGTGGAGGGGGCGGTCCAAATGCTCCTTTCAGTGATATCAAATCGGTTCTTTTTTTTTTTTTTTTTTCCCAGATCCATCTCTAAACCCCGCTCCTCCCTTAACAGAAGTACCAGGATTCTCCAAAGGCTGAGCCTTCCTGGAGTCCTAGATACCAAGTGGCCTTTTTCTTACTACATTTTCCAATCAGCCTCGTCTCTTGTCATTTGTCTCTACTTTCTAGCTTCCAAAATTGTGTTGCCCTCCTCAGGCATTGACATACCCTTTCCTGGCTTCTTAGTCCTTAAGGGTTTTTACCTTTTAAAAGGTCATCACTGGGCAATGAGATTGATCAAATTATGTTATGCTCACCTACAAATATGGTATAATGAGTTCAAATGTTATGTATGATTTTTTTTGGGGGGGGGTACCAGAGATTGAACTCAGGGGCACTCGACCACTGAGCCCCATCCCCAGCCCTACTTTGTATTTTATTTAGAATCAGGGTCTCACTGAGTTGCTTAGTGCCTTGCAGTTGCTGAGGCTGGCTTTGAACTCATGATTCTCCTGTCTCAGCCTCCCAAGCTGCTAGGATTATAGGTGTGTGCCACCGTGCCTGGCTATTACATATAATTTTAATGCACCAATAAAAATAAACTAAAGCTGGGCGCAATGGTGCATCCCAGTGTCTCTGGAGGCAGAGGCAGGAGAATCGTGAGTTCAAAGCCAGCCTCAGCAACTAAGGGAGGCCCTAGGCAACTCAGCAAGACCCTGTTTCTAAATAAAAAGGTTGGGGATGTGGCTCAATGGTTGAGCACTCCTGGGTTCAATCCCTGATACTACTACTACTACTAATAATCATCATCATCATAATAATAAGTAGTAGTAGTAGTAAATAAATTTTAAAAAGAAAAAGCCTCAAGATTAAAAGAGGTTGCTGGGGGGGCTGGGGTTGTAGCTCAGCCGTAGAGCACTTGCCTAGAATGTGCGAGACCCTAGGTTCAATCCTCAGCACCACATTAAAAAAATAAACAAACAAAATAAAGGTATTATGTCCAATTACAACTGAAAAATAAATGTTTAAAAAAAATAAAAGAGGAAACCGGGCATGGTAGCACATACCTGTAATCCCAGTGGCTTGGGAGGCTGAGGCAGGGGAATTGCTAGTTCGAAGCCAGCCTCAGCAACTTAGTGAGGTGTTAAACAACTCAGTGAGACCCTGTCTCTAAAATAAAATATAAAAAAGGGCTGGGAGTGTGGCTCAGTGGTTAAGTGCCCCTGAATTCAGTCCCCAGTACCTAAAAAAAATTATCTACTCTCATTTCAGAGAGGTTTAATGGGAGAGAAGACATAAACACTTTGTTTAATCTTTGTTTCACTTAAACAACATATTCCATGTTTTTAAATAGTGGAGCAGGCAGGAGTGAGTTGCAATAGCAAAAAAGACATTCAGAGAAGACAAAAGTAGGTGCTTAAAAGAACTTAGAGAAAAGGGGCTCCAGGCTGGGCCTCCAGGAGTGACCTTTACAACATTGTAGAGAGACTTCTTGGGAAGTTTGGAGTCTGAGCCATACGCAATCAGGAGACTGGGGACAGTCAGCAGCTCTGCCCCAACACAGCCTAAACTCAGAGATGGGGATCGAAGCCTCACAAAGCCTGCTGCATCCTCATCAGCAGGCGGATGCCTGGAGCAACACTACCTCTCAGCCACTCGACTCAGTTCTGAATGCAAGTCCTGTGGGAGGACATCTCACGGGTGTAACTCAAAGCACTGGCTACAAGGGATCATGGGAAAATATCGCTGAGCTTCCCAGCCTGCACCTTGTGAGGAAGAAAGAGGGAACCAGAAGGCAGTGAGAGCGGTATCGAGTCCACTGACCTGTGTATCCACCAGGAAAGGTAGGGGTAGCTCAGTGGCTGAATGAGCGCCTGACCAGCAAGCATAAGCCTCTGGGTTCAAGCCCCAGCACTGGAGGAAAAAAAAAATCTAGGAATTTTTTTTTTCTTTAAGCTGGACAATGGAATTCACTCCACCATCTTTCTCACCTCTTCTACTTTCCTTCCTCCTAGCCTCCGTGATTAATTTTTTACTTTTTATTTTTTTGGTACTGGGGATTGAACCCAGGAGCCCTTAACCATTAAGCCACATCTCCAGCCCCCTTTTTTTTTTTTAATTTGTATTTTTCATTTAGAG